AGAGAGAGAGAGAGAGAGAGAGAGAGAGAGAGAGAGAGAGAGAGAGAGAGAGAGATTTACAATCAAAACTTACAACTACCATTTGAATGAAAAATGCCAGAAATTAAGCATTTAAATCTGAAAGCCACACACCATACTGGGTGCTAAACCTTATATTCACCAGATTCACCACATTAGGATAACAGACAGAGAAATCTAAGGAGAGGTAAACTCACGTGTGAGAGATGTGGGCACCTCCCCGCCTTCCCTGGAGATATTCTTGGTCTCTGGAAGCCTCATTGCTCTGGGGTTGGACACAATGATGGACAGACTGTAGAACATCTAGAAAGGAAGAAAAAACATGTTATATAATCAACCTCGGATAAGGTCTTTGGTGTAAGTGTCACACTTGGTTTAATGACAAGGCATGTGGACATAAATATATGACAAGACAAACAAGCAAAAAATAATACAATGAAAAAAAATGTTGGTATCCAGTGTGGAGAAAATAATGGAACCAAGCTCCACATAAATTTTGCAGTCAACCTGCATGCTTGTTTCTCAAAATAACATCAATCTTACTTATTACTATAGGACACCTGAAAACACCAGGACAAGACAGCAGGAGAACACCTGGCAGTGAATCACAGCCATGAGAAATGGCAGGAAGCTTCATAAGGGACAACATACACCGCAGAGAATTTTTCGCTCCTCACAACACCACATCACCTACTCCAACAAAATGTGTTTAGAATATTTTAACCACAGGTTTTCATTCCACAACCGAGCTCCCCTGGGCTGATTATTAGTGATATGAACTCACGTAACTTTATAATGTCAATATTGTCAAGACAATCACATAAATTTCCCTGGCAGCTAATACAAGTAATCGCCCACTCCAGTCTCATTGAAGCGAGACAACAAGAGGAAGGAACTTGAATCAAGCCAGAATCAATAATTTCTAGAGTGTTAACAATATCTATGTTGTTATCTCATGTTGGTTGTATTCATAGAAATTGGCTGGCTAAAACATTGGTTTACCCTTAATGTAATGAATGGTTACAAGTTACAGCTACATTAATTTTTGCGGAAATTAAGTATTCTTATTAAAATAGTCTCTCTCTCTCTCTCTCTCTCTCTCTCTCAGTGTGCAGTAGTGCATACATGACTCTCGTTGCATGCACGAGTGAGCATATTTGGTCACTTGATGTGTGCTTACACATTTCTACACTCTCTCTTTGTCTTGAGGCCATACACTATGGAAAACTGCCACTGTGACATTTTAATGCAAGATCAGATTACCTTAAAAAACAACTCTAACAATAGACGTTTTAATTTCTCTCCATCAAGAATGATTAATTACCAGCTAAAAGATTCATAACTCTGAGAATTTCAACAGACTGGATCTCACTATCAATTAGATGGTATAAAAAATTAACTGGATAGAATGACATCCAGTCAAAGTATGGAGAAAATTAGATGAATATCTTCATTAATTTCTGTAGACAAATCAATGAAGACATCAAACTGAATAATTCGCAATGACAGTTGTAGTACGTTTAACCATTTCATTAACCGGAATTAGCATTTCAGCTTTCTAAAAAAAAAATCTGCTTAATATCTTACTTTTTGCATGGGTTCTTTTTTTATAACAAAACCCAGACTGACAACTGACAGTTAAGATTTCACACCACAGCGAATATGTTGATAGAAATAACAGCACATTTCCTCGAGTTTGAGCACACAGAAATCTATCTTGACACTTGAATAATAACAAAATTTGATCTCATCAGTTCAATGTTTGCAGCTGGTGTTCAAGAGCTGTAGGAGAGAGAGAAAACAGGTCCTTTCCTTCAGCAACGAGGAGTAAAAACCTTGCTTTTCACAACTGGAAGTCTTTGTAATTCTACAGGCGTGACAGAAAATTCAAATTGTATTCATGTATAATCAGGTGATTCTGACCTATATCAGTTTATATATGAGGGAGAACCATTTCAATTTTGTATTGATAAATAATGCAAATAAATAAATTAATAAATAAATAAATAAATAAATAAATATATATATATATATATATATATATATATATATAAACTAAAATCAGTCTGTAATAGCAAATGTATTATCAACTTTAAGTAGCGTATTACTCAAAAGCAGAAATATAAATAAACAATGAAAGGAGCTTTCTCATAAGAACTGTTCATTGAAACCTCTGTAAATCCGATTTCAAATCACAATATTATATCATTTAGAATAATTCTAGACTCATTTCCATTTTCAGCAACAAAGCATCTTGATGAATCTTCTTATCTAATTTGCCGCTCCAAAACCACAGAGCTCAGTAATGTCATTAGGTCAAGACGAATTGGGACATTTGCAAATATATGGGTTTCATAGTCCACTGAGCCCATTACGATGAAACATACTCATCAGACATTTATTAAGTTAAAATATTTGAAAATGCCAGCAAATGTTAGGTTTTCATAAGTCACTAATAGTGTTAGGTCAAAACAATATATGGCAAATATTTAGAGTTCACTTTCAATTAGATATGAGGAACAGCTGCTGACTACATGGTCACCATTGTCTTCTTATTTTCCGAGGAATTAAATCAAATTTCTATTTTCTGGGAGATCATGCTCTGAACACTAACGAGGGATTTCTAAGAGGCCCTGGGGGATTGTGCAGAGACTCGAGACAAATTTGTGGAAAGATCAGAAATTGATTCTGAGAATCTTTAATATGACTGCAGGGCAACTGTATATATTTTGTTTCCAATTCTTGTAGAGACATGCAATAACAATCAGCTGGTAATGCTTTGTGGAATGACTTCAGTCTGATGCTTGGCGACAAAAAAAAAATTTACAAGAATTACCAAAAAGATAACATTAGTCCATTATTATTTTCCTACTAAAATAGCACATTTTGCCTCTAGGAAATATAACCTCCAAGCAATATTCAACAGGACTGCCTATTTGAAAATAAAGGTGGCTGATACTGGAAAAAATGGCTTGATGAATCATCAGCATTTTTTTTTCTTTTTTTCCAAAAGACTTGTTCACAATATCACCTGCTGTTCCACACAAAGCAGCTTCCAGTCTGCCAGAGCATGCTTTTCTAGAAAGATGTAACGCACAACTCTGTGAGCATGTTTCAAGTTTCTAGTACTCTCTGCACAAGTACTTTACCACCACTTTTTCACACAACACTTGTTCCCTATCCAAAGTCACCTGCCGCCCAGAGAAAAAAACACTGCAAAAATAAACTGCAAGCAAACTGCTCTGCCAAAATTCTGTCAAAATGATTTCAGTCCCAGTTGTATTTGTTGTTGTACGCGCTGGAATTTCTATCTGGCTTGAATACCTGGAGTGCAGGGAGAAATTTGGAGAAATTTACCAAAGCTTTTATGTCCATTAGGGTCAATTAGCCATGAAACTGATAGCAGAAATTCCCCCTCTATGGTTCATGCCTGCAGTGGGAGTTACACCAGTACTGCTGGCTATAGGCTTAAAGCCTCTCTTACAGGCTTAATCATAGTTAAATATATGGAACTGATAGCCAAGATTCCCTTCAAATTATCTGGTATAAGTCCATACAGTTAAAAAGGTACACCAATGATATGGGACTTGCTTTATAGCCTCTTCTACAGGCTTAATCACACAAAAACTATACACAGGGTTATTTGTAATGTTCAGTATTGCTGGTTCCATAGCCTCTTTACAAGCTTCATCATATATATACAGAAACTGTACAAGAGAATCATCAGTGCTAGCATATGATAGGTAATCAATTGTCTTTCTACAGAGACTAAAAAACTCACATATATATTCCACTTTTGAAAAAGAATGTCAATTTCAATTTTGCATAAATTAATTAACATGTATTTTCTATGCTGCCAGGTGTGACCAGCAATCACATACTTTGTTCATCCAGCTAAGATAAAATGTTTCAGTCCATTTGTACAAGAATTCAGATCTAATACAGGCCAGGGTTATGGTCCAGCTGTGAAGGGAAAGGTGAAAAGCTTTCTAACATTGATGAACTGTGACAAATACTAACAGGATACGCAGCAATGGAGAGCATGGCCCATTCTTGGTTCAACCTGGCAGTTCTGGTTAGAATAAAAAACAAGTCCATCACAGGCTTTGTTTGGGGAAAGTACTTGATGCTGGGATAGTTGTGGGAAAAAATAATGGGAGTACTAAAATGGTGTGAGATCAACAAAAGGGAAAAGCTCACAACTAAATCTCTTCCGATAAACAGAGCAAATGTGCCATTTCAAGCCACACGTTACTGTTGTTGGGTGGTTAACAAGCAAATATATCAACACCTCATGGTAATAAATGTCAACCGCTGTCATTAAATTATCTCTCAACTCCAATCTGGCACATTTTTTATGTGAGTTTTATGAGGACTCCTGTTTGGGAACAATGAAATAATAGTGTAGGTAATGAATTAGAATTAATTTTTCAACAGCGGCCTTTTATTAAAGAACTCACTGTCTACTACAATTTATACTGAGCATACAGGAATGGGGTGCCTCTTTATAAGGATTTAAAATAAAGAATATATACACTGCCTTCCTTAATTTATCATTTCTCACATACTTTTTTATTTATGATATTTCACGATTTAACACAAAAAGCTTTTGACTCAGTCTCTTATTAGCCTCCCACAAAGGAGAAAAACAACAACTTGAAAGTAAGAGCTAATCTTTAAAAAAAAAAAAAAATCCTCACATCCTGTCATTCCTTTGAAGTCAAATCTTCCACGTAATCACAGGTGTCACCAGGTGTCACACCTGGATGACACGACATGCCTGACTTAACTCTCAGATCATATCTGGAGGCCGCGTTCACAACTTGATCAAGAAGACAAGTCTGACTGGTTTCATGGATGAGGTAAATGGATGATAAGTTTGCCGTAACTTTTAGACTAGTATTTTCTATCCACTTCAATGTAGGCTTAATCTAAAGATACCTGTCCATTTAAATTAAGTAACATTGTGGGTTGATTTTTCAAAGGAACTTTGGCTCAAAGATTTAGACAAAAAATTTAGTCTACTAGTACTTGAGTTCAGACTTAATTCATAGCAGTCCACTCAATAGTCACTAGAAGGTGATATGGAATTATTGGTCAAAAGCATAAGATATTTCTATTATTTTTCTTTAACAGGTGCAATATTTCATTCAAATAGACTACAACATGGATGGAATCTTTAAAACAAAACACAGGTGCCACCTGCCAAGGATGTCATACAAACTGTCACCATCAACTTTTGTTTTATTTGACTCCTAAAAAAAAGTCACAAGGGTCCCTTGTCAGTGATTGGTGACATTGCATGCACCTGCACTTTCTCTCTTTATCTTGGAATGTACAAAATCACACGTTTTATTTCTTCTTGTCTCTCTCTCACGGAGATACCATCTCGATTGCAATCAGGGGTGTCAGTGGTGGCTGAAACATGCCACATTTGTACTCCTTTGCCCACTTACTTGTTATCTCTCTTTTCATTTGTTTATTTTATATAGTAGTAGTTGTTTAGCCATCGTCTCATCACACACCTCTCATTCAGTGCTCTACAATTTTTATTTTCAAACTTCCAGCAGTTTCATTGACTCTCCTTTCTGCAGACAAGATCATTGCAGTATTTTTTCTCTATCCAGGTCTTCCTCAGACACACTCACATCCACTTTTTGGAATCCCGCCCCAAAAGATGGTTTTAGCGAGGACCTTTTTGGCATGCAGCAAATATGACTGAAGAATTTTATCTCTATTTTTTCAGTTAAGTTACTTTTAAACTATCACTTACTAGTATGCCCAATTTGCTGGGGTTGGGCTATCACATGTATTTTTTAGCAAAATGCTCAATACATATCTTCTAATTCGGGTGAAAAAGTTTCGTATTCATTTAACAATATTTGGAAATAAATTATTAGTTTGTTTTTAATATTTCTGATTCCCCACAAATCATCCAGCCATAGTTGATATAGTCAAAAGAAAGTCATCCCAGCTAAGGCCTTGGGTTCTTTATCAACTGAGTCCATCACACAGGTGTGCTATCAGCAATTATATACCATATGCTTCCATCAGTGGGACATATCCTAGTACTTAATAACTGGGACCAAATGACACGTACTAAAGTGACATATTGCAAATTGGGGTGACTCAGGACATATACCTTCATAATTAAACATCACTAGTTCATACCATGCTGTCACGTCAGATACTATTAAATACAAGGAAACACCTACTTAATAGGTATGAGATAATTATGTGTGATGATAAGTTAACATCAACTGAATATTTTTTATCTGTGAGGTTAAGAAGTGCAGAAGGTTCCTCACTCAGACAGACAGACAGACAGAGATATACTGAGAAAAACTCTTCTAGGTGAATGTAAGAAAAACATCATTCAGCAAGAGAAAGGTAATAGTTAAATTGCAACCACCCATAATCAAAAAAGAAAACCATAATTTTGGTTTGTTTGGATTCTGATCACTTTTTCCCATTCATTTCTCAGCATCTCTGGCTGAGGTCCACTGAAGAAGCAAACAAACCATGGCTCTCCAACTTCTGATGCCCTGCAGGCTTGGTTACCCATCCCCTCCAGAGGTCACTGACCCCATGACCTGACCTGACCTCTGTGACCTTTAGAAGCCAATCACAGGCCTCCTAATAAATCAGCTATGGTCAGATATGATTAGCTTTGAGAGGGGACAGGTGAAGGCATGTAACATCTGTGGGAGTCGGAGAATAAACGGTCAGCTTCACTTCAGATTTTTATTGGAAGGCTATTTGGAAGACTACGTATTTGACATTAACCAAATTACATGTTTGACTTTTCTCACCAAAAGGTGAATGTAAAAAGGAGATGGGTTAAACGGGCTCTGGATTTAGTATCTTTTAGTTTGTGTAGCAATTTACTCAAGTCAACATTTGTAATTCATCACGAGTCTAATTTCTACCACTGACAGCATTGAGTATAAATAGGAAACTGGACCATCAGAGGAAAAAAAAAAAAATTACCCCCCATTTCACCCCCTTAAAAACTCCCCACCCACCTCAATGATAGTGCATGCTGCTTTAAAAGACTTTGCTATTTACTGTAAAAGTTGTCTTGCAGTAGTAGGTTTAAGGATATTGCTTTCTCCCCCCCCCCCCCCCCCCCCATTTCAACCCCTTTCAAAAACCCCCACCCTCCCAAATACTCACTGCAGGCTGCTTTCTAAGGCTTTGCCACTTGAAGCGAATTGTGTCAATGTCTTTTTGTAGCTGTAAGTTAAAGGAGAGTGCATAGGTGTTGATTATCCCCTCTCGGACATAGTACAACTCGTAGTTGGGAATGCCTGCAATAAAGGAAAGAAAAAATTGAACAATTTAATTTTAAAAGTTAGACAAATTCATTTATTAATTCACCATTTCAAAATATTAGATCTGGTACTTAAAAGCAACATTTCATTAAGATGACCATGTCATTCACAAAAATAACCATTGAAAATTTGTCAAGGAAAAAAAGAATGCAACCCATGGCAGCCATTTGGGACAACCCATAGCACAAAGCTTGCCGACAAAGCAGGCGACTAATGGAGATATACAACAACGACATCGTGTTAAGAAGCCATAACAATGGCTGTCTTCCACTTGACCAAGCTGGGACCAAATACGTCCTCTGGAATCACATCACCTCCTCTTCACCAGCACTTAGTAGAACATGGCCAAAACATCAGACCCATTACGAAGTGGTACCACATACCCCTTGGGCTGCACTTTCAATCAAGTTGGGATGTCTTTACTTAGTGCATTATACTCAAATAGCAGACAATGTTATGACATTGTCTTACCAAAAACAACAAGTTGAGCTGTCCTAAACTGACTAGAAATGCACCTTACCTCGGCACCTGACAAAAACAATGCAGTGACCGTTTTCAAGCTGCCACACCCAAAAACCAAATTATCTTCACATACTGATGAAATCACCAAGGTCGCCCTACTCATCATGCGTCAAATATATCAAGTGATGCACTGTTGATAAGAAATTGTCAATTCCACATGTGAAGTGTCCTTTATCAGCCATGTATCCCATTATTTCAAAAAGTTTGAAAAAGTTGACTTATTAACTGCAAAGCCTTTGTGTGTTTATAGAACCCAGATCAAATTTTGATTCTGAATAGACATTTTCACAGTCAAAAGCCTTAGGGTGGTTCTAAATACCCCCCCCCCACCCCACCCATCCCCCAACCTATATACTGGTAAGCTAATTAACCAGGGTTACTTATCTAATAAGTAATCACATGGTCTACTAAGCTAGCAGATTCCAAGATGTGCCTGCACAATTTGAATGGAAATGCAGCATTAGGGTATACAGTGTGAATGCAACTTTCGAAAAAGGTGTGCACTTTAAGGCATGTCACAGGATTAGTGGCATTATTAGTGCGTGGAGACTGGTGTTCAAGACAGTGGAAAATTCACTGTGAAGGCTTATGTGCAGTAATTGGGAAAACTGACTGGTTGAATTAAGTGTGATTTCAACATGCTGTTTCTTTTCATTATATCCCTTGTTAACAAAATGATGTTTAGCACATTAAGAGAGAGAGAGAGAGAACGAGAGAGAGAGAGAGATGCAGGATAAAAAGGCAATGCACACCTTAATCTCAGACAACACTAAGATTTTACAATTTTGTCTCTTTGTAAAAAATATTAATTTAACCTATTTTGATATAAAATGGGACTTTGACCAATGCCAAACATTCACAAGGAAAAAAAGGAGAATTTTCCCATTTTTATTCATCAGAAGAACACCAGGGAACACACCTTGTTGTGAATCGGTGAGAAATGGAAGGAATGTTTGCACACCAAGACAGCCAATACGGATATATTTTTGTGCTAATTTAATAAATTGGAGCAAAACTTAGAGTATCATGACTACCACAAAAATACATTGGGGGGGGGGGGAATTCTTCTTTTCATTTCTTTATTTTGATTTCATTATTTAAAGCATTTGACATTGTAATAATTTCACAAAAAAAAATGTAATTTTCATTTAGGATAGGAGCCGTCATGCTGGATGCTTTGGCTAAAAAATTCTGTAACTTGTATATATTCACAGTCCTTTTATGAAGAAGGGAACAAGGGACTTTGTCACAAGATCATTTATGTTTTTTTCCTTTTTTCTCTTTTTTTTTCTCCATTTAGTGCCTGTAGATTTAGTTAATCTCTTCAGAAAATGCACACCCAACAAAGCTCCCCTGTGTACGATAAAGAACATATTACAAGCAAAACGAAGGATACAATTTCAAGATAATCATCAGGTGAGGCCTGCGGACAAAATACACATTCACTGCCTTCACTTTAATGGCTGCTAATGTATTTGTACGAGATTTTTTTTTTCCCCATGTTGTTTGTTGATATCTGATACTACCCCACAAAAATGTGCTCCGGAGTCAATTGTGCCTTTACAAATCCATAAAAAAACATATCATTTTATCTTCTCTTCTAGTAAATTTGCATTAATTTGGCAGCTATTTTGTTTCTCCCTGGTTTGTACAATTTGTTCATTTTTTAGGCCCCCGATTCGATCTCTGTGCTCTGCCCACTTCCTTTCTTTTATAGCTTCAACTTCCTCTCTGCCACAACTCTGAGACCTGCTATCAAAGATTTTCATCAGCTTAACGCGCAAAATTAAAATAAAGGGCAATAACTTTTTTAAACAAATCATACAAATTAGCCTTGAAACTTAAACCTCCTTTTTGTAGCTGTAAATTTATCTTATTTCTTATCTTTTTCATCATTTGAAGAATTTAAAAGGCAGCAAAAGCAGTAAGTATTATCAAATACCAGATCCTTATATCATGTGCTCCCCTCCCAAAAACAAATACACCAAAAAGATAATTTTAATTTCATCCTTTTTCCTCACATTTTTCTATAATTATCAACTTTCAGGATGCTAAACCAGGTAATATAACCCACAGCCTATCTTCCACAGGATGCTAAAGCCCGTAACTGAGTGTGTTCCCTCACTATATCTACTGATATTACATCACTTTAAAATCATACAGTAACTGATTCCACTCTCTAGGAAACAGAGATACAGTGCACTTCCTTCTGGATGAGTCTTCAAATATAACACTCAGGATATCAGATAATTTGTAAAAGGCTCTAAGACACAAGTAAAATGTGGTATCACTAACAGTCCTTATATTACTTTCATTCCAGCACAGTTTGGTTTGGAGTGAATCACCTTTTTTGCCTGGAAAGGATTCACTGTTCTGGTAAAATTTGATCTTGGCAAATGAAGGTTCCACAGTTACAGGTCCAGCCCCCCCCCTCCCCCCCCCCCTTTTTGAAATTGCTGACTATGGACCTGATATCTGTTATCTTCAGCTATCACTACCCCGAGTTTCATAGCCTAGGGTCCCTTGAAACACTCTTTTCCACTATCAAAATTGCTCAGTCTGGTTGCTGAGAATGAACTTGTGAAATCGAGGGTGGGATAACACAGAACATGCAGATACACACTGGCAATTTCCTTATTTTAAAATTTACCAGGGGAAATTTACCAGATACAAAGAACTCAAAGAAACAAACACCAAAATTTCTATTTTATTAAGAGATTCCCTTAAACTGTTTGTCTCGGACATACTCACTTGACCATTTCACAGATTTATGAAGGAGTCAGAAAAGGCAGAGAAGTCATCCTCTTCACCAGTATGAAGTGTTTCTACAAGTATTTGCCACAGTATTAGACATACACACTTGATTATTCAAACAGTCTGTAAGTGGTCTTAACATGCTGAACACCTGACCACTTGACTGCTATCAGACAACAAGCAGAGATGATCACACCTTGGCTATTAAGAACTGTCAGCTTCCTCAAACAATGTAGTCTAATACGTACCTTGCAGGACCACAGAAAGAAAATTTTCCACGCTAGACATTCACAAATATATTTTTCTGGTTAATTCTGTGCACAATTCTGTACTAGCCAAAATCATGGCAAACAAATGACCGTTTTTTTTTTGTTTTGTTTTGTTTTTTTTTGGCAAGTAACCATGTCTTTTGTTATAAATCAGCCACAATACTACTATTCTATTCATTGGACTACTACATACATCTTAAGGCAGACTAAAATTCCGATTTAAAAATTTGACCAGTTTTTTTACGTCATTATTTTTGAGGACTAGTACCATTGACTAGATCAATCCA